AAAGAAGGACAACTCAATTGGCACTTGACATCCTAATAGCAACAGTAAAACCCAGAATAAGTGACACAGTATCTTCAAATGTAGAAGGGTAACAATTGTCCAATGAAATTATCTCCTTAAAAATGGWGCCAAAAGAAGGGCTGGGATGTAGCTCATTGGTACATGATTTACCCAACATGTGTGAGATCCTGGATTCAATCCCTAGCACCACAAAATAGAAAAAGAGGCCAAAAGAAAAGATTTTTTTTTTCCTGACAAAAACAGAATTTGTCACCAACAAAACCTCTTTAAAGGAATTTCTAAAGAATATGTATTAGGAAGAAAAACTATTCCTGAAGAAAGTCTGAATATAAGAAACAATGAATAAAGAATGCAAATATATAGAATAAAAAATTAACTTTACAAAGTACTAAAAGCAATGTCTAAATTGTGTCTTAAAATATTAATATAGAACTAACGGACACAGTGGTGCACACCCTGTAATCCCAGGGACTTGGGAGGCTGAGGCAGGAGGATTGTGAGTTCAAAGCCAGTCTCAGCAATTTAGTGAGACCCTAAGCAACTCAGTGAGACCTGTATCTAAATTAAATACAAAAAATGGCTGGGGATGATGGGCTGGGGTTGTGGCTCAGTAGCAGAGAGCGCTTGCCTAGCCACATGTGAGGCACTGGGTTTGATCCTCTGCACCACATAAAAATGAATAAACAAAATAAAGATATATCCATGTATAACTAAAAAATATTTTTTAWAAAAAGCCTGGAGATGTGGCTCAAGTGGTTAAGCACCCCTGGATTTAATCCCTGGTGTCAACAGTAATAATGATAATCATCATCATCATCATCATCATCATCATCATCATCTAAAACACTGGGTATTGGCATAAAAACCAGTAGGGCTCAGAGCTAAATCATTCTAAGTCTTTGTTATTTTACAAGAGGTTAATGATATTGATCTACTTTGGACTCATGTTAAAAATGCACATTAAACTTTTTAGAGTAACTAGGATAAAAACTGGAAGAAGAAAGAGAAGGAAGTAGGGAAAACCTTACAAACCAATAAAGGGAAAAAATATTAAATTTGAAAACAGCATTTTAACAAGGAAGAAAGAAAACATGATACAAAGTGAAAAAAAAAAGGTAAAACTGAACCCTGATGTATTAGCAATCACATTCTTATTTTCCATTACTTAAAATAATCCGAATCTGGGCTAGGAATGTAGTTCAGTAGTACAGTGTTTGACTAGCATGTATACAAGGTCCTAGGTTTGATACCCAATACTATAAAAAAAAGTTTAAATGAATTAATTAAAATCAGACTTGAATCTATCCAAGGAAGCATGTGGGAAGGATGCAGAGAAGAAGAYTGACCAGGTCTGGAAGATGACAGGTTCTGGGCAAGGGACGAGGAGACTGGGATCTGAGGAGAGACAGGAGAGTGGGTCACATGGAGAGAACTGGCCTCACACAGCCATGGGGGCCAGGAGGCTTACGCTGGCACAGCTCCTGGAAGAACCATCAAAGGGCCCCCTGTAAGACTGAAACACGGTATGTGAGCAGGTTGGTCAATGTCAAAGGGAAGAGAATGGTGGGAGTGAAAGAAAGAACAGGAAAAACAAACCTGTGCCCTTGAGACACAGATCAGAGGGGAGACAGACCAGGAAACAAAGCAGAAGCACCACATTGGGTCCACTGGGCCATCTTCCAAGTGAGCTGGTCCCCCAGGAAATGAGTACACTTCTGGGAACATTTGTGGGTCATGTTACAAAATGACAGYTCCTGGAGGTGAGCCTCCAGCCTGCAGCTCCACGCAGCCCTGAGCTGCCCTGCAGTTGTATCTGCTCCCCGTCCCCTCGTGTGTGGGAGGAGCCTGCCAGTACAGGGCATACCACTGCCCAGTCTCTGAGGTCCATCCACTCACAGTTGGGGGCAGCCAGAAGAGCCCTAATGCTACTTGTGCCACCTGCAGAAGCATATATGGGAGATGCTGGTGTAATCAGTGCTGCTCCTGGCAGGGCAGAGAGAATTCCAAGTGCTGGGACATTTCCAAACTCATTCCACTGAGTACCTCTARGACTGTGACTTCATAAACAGGTCAGATCCCCCTAGGAAACCAGATGATGACGAGGTAAATAGCTGTGTATTGGCTGATGGTAGAGGGCACAGACTATGTTAGTAGCTGAAGGAACAGGTGAGAGCTAAGCAGAAACAAGGCACAACTGACCAATGCAGACCTGAGCCTGTGGATGGAYTTCTAGGCCTGTGTGGGTTGTACCTTCCCCAGGAGCTCTGCTCTCCCAGGGCCCCAGGCCTAGGGCACCACTTGGCTGAGGGGATGGTTCCAGGAGCAACCAGTAGCGGAGGTAAAATGTAAAGCCAAAATCTAAGGGGGAAAAAAGGAATACTAAAAGATTAAGAATCTAGAGATTGGTATTCATAAATGGATGAAAGGCTAGGTGCAATGACACATGCCTGAAATCCCAGTGGCTGGGGAGGCTGAGGAAGGCAGATCACGAGTTCAAAGCCAGCCTCAGCAAAAGTAAGGTGCTAAGCACCTCAGTGAGACCTTGTCTCTAAATAAAATACAAAATAGGGYTAGGGATGTGGTTTAGTGGTCAAGTGCCCCTGAGTTCAATCCCTGGTACAAAAAAAAAAAAAAAAGTAGAAAAAGCAAAAGCAAATACGGCATATATACACAGTGGAGTTTTATTCAGCCATAAAAAAGAATGAAATTATGTGAAATTATGTCATCTGCAGGAAAATGGGTGGAACTTGAAAACATGTTAAGCAAAATAATCCAAACTCGGAAGGTCAATGGTTGTATGTTTTCTCTCATATGTGTGGAAGGTAGAGAGGAAGAAGGAAAAAGAAAGGTTGACGGGTGAGGGGTTCAYGAAAATCCAAGGGAGATCAGTATAATAAAGGAACGGGACCAGAGGGAGGAAAGAGGGGAGGGAAAGGGGAAGTACCAGGAAAAGATATTGGCCAATTATATTATTATATCATAAACAAATACAAAACAACAAATCCCACCATTATGTATAATATAATGCATGGTAAAAAATATATGGAGGGTGAGGAGGACAAAGAGATTGCAGAAGAGTGTTCAAGGAACAAAGGCAGAGAGAGAATGGCCCAAACTTTTGGAAGTTAGGTGCTGTTTGAATGTTGTCCCCATTAGACCAATTAGAGGCCCAAGGCAAGTGTGSCCACTGGCCACTGCAAACCACTTCCTCTTTGAAATTCTCTCTTCCTTTGCCTCCAATATCTGTTCTAGTTTTCCTCCAGATGTACAGGGAAGGGTGGGTAGTGGAAAGGAGAGACCCCTTTTCCACTGAGAGATATTTGACTAGGGTCAAGGAGTTGCAGACAGTTTCAGGGAACTGGAGACAGGTAGCAGTGTCATTTATTAAGAGTGAGGGAGAAGTTGGACTCAAAGGTCAGACATGCGGCTGTGGGGAATGGAGAGTTTGCTGACTATGAAGCCCCTCAGTGTTTGGAGACCAAGCATTTCAGTCTTACATGCTACTTGTTCCAGTAACACACAGATGTAGACATGGAGACGCTGAAAGGTTGGTTACCTCAGATTTGGACTGGGCATGTTGTGGGGACAGATGAAGCAAGGCACCRAAGATAGCAGGAAACAGTTTTATTTGGCTGCAGCCAGGTTCAGAGGAACAGCTTTTGCTGTAATCAATCTCCTGAACCCTGAGTTCACRTAATTTCAGAGTTTTATACCCAGCATATAAGGGGAGGGGCTCAGAAGTTCACAGTCTGCAGAAGTTCACATAAAAGCAGCTTTTTCTTCCACTGTTCTGGGCAGGTTAACCCTTCAAGGACAACACCTGAGAAGGGGAGAGATTTTTCTCCCCTTTCCTCCCCCTGCCAGCTGTTACCATGGAGCCCAATTGGTAACTTCTCTTATATTAGAAATGTAGACATCTCTGTGAAGCTCAGCTCAAGGCCAAAGGCCTTGTTTACATATTTCTACAAACTACTWTACTAGATACATGTTTGTGAAAAACTAGTAAGGGGGTGTCCAGCACCTGGAGTGCTGATTTCTTCCCGGCCAGTGGCCAAGTAAAACAGAGCAACACGAAAATTGGAAGTTTATCGACATTGAACTCTTTTGCAGAGACTCTTTTGCTGACTGTCCTAAAATCAGCCATGGTGAAGATTTCTGGAGAAGGCCAGTTAAGACTTTTCTGTGGAGAAAGGGGGTACCACTCCAGGCAGGGCACTGAAACAGAAGGAATACTGAGACTAGAATACTGAGACTGCTGTCGAGGAAAGAGAAGAAGAAACTCAATGGGTCTAACTAGCCACGGAAGGGGGTGCTCRTATCAAAGGAGCCCATGTGGTGATTAAAAAGGTGGAATCAAAGAGCCTGAGTCTTGAGCAGCAGGAAGAGAGGTTGTGGCCAGAGAACAGCACGCTGGGGTGAAATTTAGAATCCTGGGTGGTGAGGAGAGAGGGGAAGCCACACAGAAGGAGGTGCTGACATGGGAATGGGATGAGTCATGGACTTTTGTGAACACTAACGTTGCCCAAGACAAATGGCAGAACCTGAAACAAAGAGGAAGACTTTGAGTGGGGGTGAGGAAAGCCCTCAGGGACCGTGAGTGCATGACCACACAGGAGGGAGCAGGGGATTACGTGAGGAGGAGGGCTGGTGGCATGGAAGCCAGCTAGTCCAGAGGAGAGTGCCATCCTKCCTGAGGCATGGGGAATGGGACAAAGAGCAGTCTCACTGGCCAGGATCTCAGTACAGGTGCATGGGGGGCCCAGGGGAGAGACTGGGCTGGGTCACTGGTATTCACCTTATCTTTTGGAAGTATGTCTCTCTGCCAGACAATGAAGGGGCTTATTTTTCTCCATACCCCTGGGACTGAGTGGCACCCCCACAACAGGTACCCAGTGAATGTGTGAGGAGGGATGAAGGGAGGGCAGAGGCCACAGTAGTCCAATAAACAGGCCACATTTGCCCTTCCCTGTTCTTTACAGTCCCCAGCAGGGACTTGCCCCGCGTCTCTCCCATCAGGAGGCTGAAGGAGCAAGAAGAAACCAACAGAATCATCGAAATGCAACGGCTAGAAATCCGGCGGCTCAGAGACCAGATTCAAGAACAAGAACAGGTCCCAGGGTTCCACACTATTGCTGGAATTCGGCTTCCTTCCATGCCTGATTCAGATGTCAATATGATGAGCAAGTGATTCTTCGCATGAGCCAGCTCCAGTTAGAGCCACAAGTACCACATGTCTGTCCCCAGGCCAGATTCACGCMGGGGTCCGGGCAGTCCCTGCAACACTGACCCACCCCACCTTTCTCTTGCCCTGGGAACTGGGGATACAGTCAGAATAAAGGTGTTTGCTTACAACTTTGTCCAACTTCTGCTTAGCTAAGGGGCCAGGGCAGGTGAGGGAAAGAGAGGAGCCGAGGACTGGGGGGTTGTCCAAAGCCACTGCTGCTTGTGTCTTCAGGCACAGGGCTGCCTGGCACCATGGACATCGCAGTGGGCTTGGGACTGGYTTCCTGACACCTGAGGCCTGAGGACAGGGCAGCCTGTTTCTTTCGTAGGTGACTCTGCTMATTGCTTCCCTCCTTTCTTTGCCAATGACGTCAGGACCAGATAACACCTCCTACGTTTTCTTCTCCATGATGCAGTGTCATGAGGCTTTCTGGTAATTTTTGTATGTGTAAAGGTGACGGAAAATATGAGAGTAAAAGAACAAACTTGCAAATTTACAGGGACTCCCATCTTGCATGACACACATACCTTTTTTTTGTTTGTTTGTTTTCAAGTTTTTTTTTATTGGTTGTTCATAACATTATAAAGCTCTTGACATATTTCATACATTAGATTGAAGTGGGTTATGAACTCCCAATTTTTACCCCAAATACAGATTGCAGAATCACATCGGTTACACATCCACAATTTTACATAATGCCCTATTAGTAACTGTTGTATTCTGCTACCTTTCCTATCCYCTACTATCCCCCCTCCCCTYCCCTCCCATCTTCTCTCTCTACCCCATCTACTGTAATTCATTTCTCTCCTTGTTTATTTTCCCATTCCCCTCACAACCTCTTATATGTAATTTTGTATAGCAATGAGGGTCTCCCTTCATTTCCATGCAATTTCCCTTTTCTCTCCCTTTCCCTCCCATCTCATATCTCTGTTTAATGTTAATCTTTTCTTSCTGCTCTTCCTCCCTGCTCTGTTCATAGTTGCTCTCATTATATCAAAGAAGACATTTGGTATTTGTTTTTTAGGGATTGGCTAGCTTCACTATAATCTGCTCTAGTGCCATCCATTTCCCTGCAAATTCCATGATTTTGTCATTTTTAAGTGCTGCGCAATATTCCATGGTGTATAAATGCCACATTTTTTTTATCCATTCATCTATTGAAGGGTATCTGGGTTGGTTCCACAGTCTAGCTATTGTGAATTGTGCTGCTATGAAYATCGATGTGGCAGTATCCCTGTAGTATGCTCTTTTAAGGTCTTCAGGGAATAGTCCGAGAAGGGCAATAGCTGGGTCAAATGGTGGATCCATTCCCAGCTTTCCCAGGAATCTCCATACTGCTTTCCAAATTGGCCGCACCAATTTGCAGTCCCACCAGCAATGTACAAGTGTACCCTTTTCTCCACATCCTCACCAGCACTTATTGTTGTTTGACTTCATAGTGGTTGCCAATCTTACTGGAGTGAGATGGTATCTTAGGGTGGTTTTGATTTGCATTTCTCTGACTGCTAGAGATGTGACACGCATACCTTGTTCTTAGGACCACAAGCAGAGCTCCACCCTCCTTTTTCTGATCTCCACRTCGCTCTAGACTTATCTTCTGCAGTGCCCTTCCCAGCACCTCCATTTCTGAGAGGTACTTCTTCCTCTAGCAATGCTTCTGGGCCCCATCCTGGGAGACTCAGCCACACACAGGTACCAGGAAAGATACTTCTTTCTGTCCTAGAGAGTAAAGGAATATAACCCAAGAGCCCCTGCTTCTTCCTGCAGAGGCCAGACACCCCTCTAATGCCCAGATAACCTACCTAGGCCCACAGGCCCTCCTGACCCCTTCTGCCTGTTGTCTCCAAGGCTTAYCACCTTCTCAGTCTGCTTTACTGACTCTTGGCACTGCTCTTGGGTTAGTTTTCAAGGCTAGAGCTGAGACTTAGCTGTCCTGTTTAGCAAGGCTCTCCTGAAGGTGGTGGGGGCAGCAGACAGAAGGGACATGACAGAGGCCAAGAAGCAAAGTACTTTAGTGACCACCTCCTCACCCTCCCCTGCCCCTATCACAACAGCCAGCTCATCTCCTCCATACCAGTGTGCCCGCTAGCACGCCATCCACTGCCTGGGAGAACAGATCCCAAGAGCAGGAAAAAATGTATACACCCCCGAGAAAAGTTCAGCCACAAAGATGATGGCCCATTACATTATCATACCAGGTAGCTGGGCTCTTCAGGGACTCAGACTTCTCTATTCCAAAGAAGCATCTTGGCTTTATCTTTACCGAAGAAAACTGTCTTAAAATGAGATATGAAGTGGGTCAGCGGAGCCAGAACTTTCAGGTCCTCAAAAGCAAGTAAAAGATATGGACTGGAGGCCAGAGGCCAGTGCTTGGCTGCTGCTTGGCCTCTTGCTTTCCAGGGTTTTGCTACACTGGCCTTCTTTCAGTTCCTCGAACGAGCCAAGGTCTTCATGCCTTTTTATCTTTGTACATACTGTTTCTCTGCCTGAAATGCTCTTGCCCCCATACCTCCTTCAGATCTTAGCTTAAATGTCATTTCCTCAGGAAGTCAGTCCCTGCTAGGCATGGTGGTGCATGCCTGTAATCCCAGTGACTCAGGAGGCTGAGGCAGGAGGATCGCAACTGTGAGGCCAGCCTCAGCAACTTAGCAAGGCCCTAAGCATCTTGGTGAGACCCTGTCTCAAAAAAAGGGCTAGGGATATGACTGGTTAAGCACCCTGGCTTTAATCCCTGGTACCAAAGAAGAAGAAAGAAAAGAAAGTCAGTCCTTGGCCCCTCCCATATAAATTACACCCATCATACTGTTTTCCTTCATGACCCTCACAATACCCTGTCCATTTAGTATTTAAACTCTCCTGCTAGGAAAGTTCCACCAGAGYAAGAGCTATGCCTGCATCTAAAATTCACTTGGGTGTCTGGGTGGGGTTGATTAAGAGAACCCAATAGAGGAGGTGGGGGCCGGTTAGGAGGAGATTGTGGGTGTCCAGTGGCTTGGACCAAGATGATGGCAGAGAGGAAACAGACAAGAGAACTCTTCTAACGAAAGGAATCGGGGGAGTTGGCCAAGCTGAGGGGGAAGAAGCATGACCTGGGAAGAAGAAAAATGCAGAGGAAAACCACTGTGGCTAGGATGTGTTGATATTCAAGTGATGGATGCTTCAACTGAAAAACATCTTAAGAGTCAAGACATTCACCTTTTACTCACAAGATGGACCTCAGCTCACGAATGAGGAAATCAAAACCAAGAAAGAGTAAATTTACTACACMTGATCAGACATGCAGAGCCAGGACGGTAGTCCCATCTGCCCAGAGGACTCCAGGGCTTCRTGCTCTTACACGGTGCTCTGGAGAAGCACCCAAGAAATACACTACAGACTAGGTGGTGAAGGTGATGTGAATGTGACTCCCAGAGAGGCTGAACCAGAAGGAAAAGGAGCTGAAGACCAAGCTGAGCCTAACTTAAACCTGGCTGCTCTTCAGCTGGAGAGGAGGAGGAGGAGGAGGAAGTCCAGGCCAAGGAAGAGTCCCACCCTAGAAGAACATGGCACCTTGGCCAGCAGGTCAGCAGGGCGAATTCTTTGCTGCATACTGATGAACACAGTGTCTTGCTAGTGAATCTGGGGCCAGAGGTGCAATTTTGTTTTGCTTTCTACATTCTGTCTACAGTTTTCCTAAGCTGACTTACTGGCCCTGGTCTTCTGGATATTGCATCTCAGACCTCCTTCCACTTTGTCTRTCCTGACTTCATGGGGAGGCTGGAAGCACTCCCCCCACTGGGGCCAACTTCTTTTCAGCCCCTCATTGATGGAGTTGATCTAAAAGTCACCCCCTCCTRCAGCAGCCATCCAGGCCCCACTGGTCACCTAAGTGACTAGATATTAGCACATAGACTCCATTCATGCTCATCTAGTTGCAGTTGATTCTTGAGCTCTCTCCAGAAACCTCCAGAATTTCTCTCTCTACCCACCCCCCTCAGATATCCACTTGACCCSCTCCCCCTCCTTCAGAGGTATGGCCAGACAGTGTGAGCGGCCCAGATGAGCCTCTGTGCAGTCCTGTTCTCTCAGAACCAAAGACCCCACCCTATGGGAGGGCCGAATATCAACATCTACTTTCCCCACTGCTTCTTATGCAAAGCTTGGCCAGCTGTTTCCAGGAGGTGACTTAGGAGTAATGAAGGACCTGGGAATATCTGTGCACCCAGGGGGGAACCTCTGAAAAATCACTGTTCTAAATCTGGAATGAGAGAAATGGCATTTCAGGACCAGGAGTGGGGTTCACTTTTCCCTGAGCTCTGTTGGGATAGCGCCCCAGGATCTATCAGGAGCTCCAAGGCCTGCTTATGTTTGAACATGAACATAAATCTGAGAGGCAATCCAACTCACCCSAGCTGAGCTGAGCAGGAGAACAGAYTTAGAAAGAAATAATCCTGCTGGGCAGCAGCAGTTGCTGATCACATACTATGGCCAGTWGTATTCAGGAATTTATATTTATTGCTCAGGTAGTGTCGCATGATGGGATTTGGCAGGGGCAGTGAGGATAWACTGCAACTTTCTAGGCACATACTGTGTGTAGTACGTATTATTAAAATTAGGACTAGAAGATTCTAGTTCTGAATGAACAGAGGAGTTGTGGGTGCCCTTCTTTTGCCAAAAGTAACAGAAACAAACTAGCCAACTTAAGCACAAAAGGAGAATTTATTATTTGACTCCTGGTGTGTGTCATGGACTCTCTTGGCAATGTAGCACCTAAATCTCAAGAAGAACCTGAGCCAGGACTTGGAACATTGGTGCAACCCCTCTCCCTTTCTTGTCCTTGCCTCTCTGTCCAGACCAGCTTTTCATTGCCRATTCAGCTGGCAGAAGAGTATTTTAGCATCTCTCATTAATAGATGAATGAGAATAGAAGAATAATAGATGAATGGATAAGAAGTCCCCAGGCTGAAACAAAATCCCCAGTCCAA